AATCTGACGCGGGCTCCTGCAGCAGACATCCCACGAAGACGGGGCCGTCAAGATCGAGGACGCGCTCGCCAAAAAGAAGTCGGCAGACCCGAGCTCCGGCTCACTCATGTCTTACGATTCCTCGAAGAGTGGCGAAACCTCGGCGACTCCTATCCGACTCCCTGGGCAACCCAGGCGCACGCGCCCACGTGCGCGCACTGCTGCAGGAACTGCTGGCGGGAACGAGCACCTCGCGCACGCAGAAGTGTGCTGTGACATTGCCGCACGCTCGCTTTGCAAGAGCGTCCAGCCCGGCCCAGGAGGCCCCCAAGAGGGCCCCAAGAGGGCCCCAAGAGGCCCCCCTAAGGGGGCCAAGATGCCCCCAGCAGGTTTCCAAGGGGCGGAGCTCGACCTGGGATTTGGACCCTCTCCCCCCCAAAGAAGGCTCCTGAGGCAGCCCCAGGAGGCCCCAAGACAGTCCCAAGGAATCGTTCTAAGAGTAGGTCGGGCATGTCCCCCATACAGGCGGATCCTGGACGAAAAATAAAAGACTAGTCGAAACAAAAATCGTCCCCATATTATGATCGCCTATTTCTGAGTACTCCTCCTGTAGAGGGACCTGCCCGATTTAATTCTAAGAGACCCTAGGAGACGCCTCCACTTAAGCTACCGCTGGTCCATGAGCCAAGCACGGCGGCGGGGCGCCGACGGCACCTTCGCAGAACATGGGCCACCACTACCAGTACCAAAACCCGCGTGCCTCTTCGCACCCGCCCTTGCTCTTCCCCCTGCTTGGCTTAGGTCGGGCATGTCCCCCTACAGGCGGATTTTTGGACGTCAAAAAATAATCCAACAATGATCAACAAATGCCCAACAATACATAAAAAACCGTCCAGCATTAGTTTTGAACCAATCTTTGACTGTTCCTCCTGTAGAGGGACACGCCCGACTTACCTCTCCCCCCTGCTTGGCATCCTCCACCTCTACTCATCCTCATCCTGCGCCCCCCCCCCTGCCGCGAAACTCGCCGGCCCAACGGGCTCGGGGTGCGCCAGAATCTCGGGCGAGAGGTCCGGATCTTTCCAGTTCGCGCGCGCGGGGCGGCCCCCGAGGACCCCCGGACAAAAAGTACCAGCCCAAAGTCCTGGCCGGGTCGGGGTCATGAAGGGGCCAAGGGACACAAATAAATATACACACATTCGCCGGCCCAACGGGCCAGAGGCGTGCTAAGATCTCCTGTAACTACTAACGATACTTCTAGTTCGCGCGCGCGGGGCGGCCCCTGGGGGCCCCCGGACGAGAAGTACCCCGGCCCATCCCCGGCTGACCCCCAGGCGATCCCCAGGGGGGAGGCTATTTTTTGCCACCCCTACAAGGATCGTGGCCTCCGAGGGGGTGGCTGCAATCGCCTACCCCCCCCTCCTGCCCAAGGGGCCCCCAAGACCCCCCCAGGAGGCCCCAGGGGAGCTCAAGACGCCGCCGAGGAGCCCCAAGAGACCCCCAAGAGGCCCCCAAGAGGCCCCTATGAGGCCCCCAAGAGGCCCCCAAGAGGCTTCAAAGAGGCCCCATAGAGCGCTCGAGGGCCGGCGGAATGAGCGAAGCGATTAAATAACAGGAGTCCCCATATTTTCCACATATTTTCTGGCTTTTTGTCTCCCCCCCCACTTCCCATATTTCCCTATATTTTCCGGGGGATCGACGATTCATTGTGTCTGTGGCGCTGGGCAGAGGGCGGGCCAAGGGCGGCTTCGGGCCCAGAGCGTGCCAAAGGGGGGTCGAAGAGGACGACGAGGCGGTCCCCAGAGGCGCCCAGGACGGCCCGGGAGAGCTCTACGCGGACCCCAAGAGGGCCCCGAGGGGCCCCCCAAGACGTCCAAAGGGAGGCTCAGGACGGCCCAAGAGGCCTCCCAGGGGGGCCTCTCAAGAGAGCTCCCCGGGCCCCCGAGGAGGCTCCACGAGGGGGGGACACGAACTCACACGTCGAGCCCGCCTCGAAACATAGCCCTTGAGACCACCCCCAGGAGCCCGAGGAGCCCCCAAGGAATCCTGCAGAAGCCAACACAACTCCCCCGACAAACCCTTCAAGAGGGTCCCAAGATGCACAACTCATTGATTCTACAATAGATTTTCAAAGCCCGAGACGCTCCCAAGGCAGCCCCAAAACGTCCCCCCCCCTGTGACTGCACTGGAGAGGAGACAACTCCCATCCATGCCCACAGCGGCCTCCAGGCAGATGCGACTGGAGTTCCCCTCCTCTTTCTCCTCCTCCTCCTCCTCCTCCTCCTCCTCCTCCTTCATCCCTCGTCCTTATAATGAACTCTTCCCCGTCGCACCCCGAACCCAGTCGAAAGGGCAAGCCGTGCGTTTCGCCTGGGATTTCCTCACATGTGCGATCGTTACGCTTACAACTTGCAGCGGTTGTGCGGATGGAGGGCGCTCTGCTCTCAAAATGTGGCTCTCGCCTCAGCGCCGCGTACACTCGTCCTAAACATTCGCAGCAAGTTTACGGATGGAGGGCGGC